GTTTTTTAATGGGTTCTTTGGATTCTGGTTTTGTTTGCTTGCTTGTTTTAGATTTGTTGTAGTTTTGTTTCATTTTATAGGGTTTTTTGTGTATTATGGATGTTAACCCTCTGTCAGATATACAGCTGACAAAGATCATCTCCGTTCTATTGACTTTCTCTTCACTCCACTGATTGTTTCTTTAGCAATGCAGAAGCTATTTAGTCTTTTGAGCCTCCATTTATTAATTGCTGGCCTCAATTCCTGAGCAAATAGAGTCCTATTCATCAAGTCCTTTCCTACACCTCTATCAGGTCCAGTACTACCTACGTTGTCTTCTATTGTTTCAGTGTTTTAAGTTTTTAAATATAGGTCTTCGATTCATTTAAAGTTGGGTTTTGTGCCAGGAGTTAAATATGAGTCTAATTTCATGTTGACATCTAGTTATACCAGCATCATTTTTTTAAAGATGCTACCTTTTCTCCAGTGTAAGTTTATTGTTTTTCTAATGTCATATAGCTGTAGTTATAACTAGTCATGTTTGGGTTTTTGACTGGTTCCATTTGTCTATATGTCTGTTTTTGTTTCAGTACCATATTATTTTTATTACAATGGCTCTGTAACATATTTTGATTTTGAGAGTGATATCCGTTCCAGTGTTGTTCATTTTGATCAGGATTGTTTTTGATACATGGGGCTTTTTCTTTGGTTGCACATTAATTTTAGCATGGTGACTTTTTAATTTCTGTGAAGAATTAGGTTAGGATTTTGATTAAGATTGCAGTGAATTTGTGAGTGGTTTTTGAAATCCACAAACAAGGGATATCTTGTCATTTTCTGGTATCTTTTTCCATCTCTTTCTTCCGAGATTAAGGGATTTCCTTGTAGAAGTCTTTTACTTCTTTGATCAAATTTGTTCCTAGACATTTTATTTTCCTTGTTCTTATTATGAATTGGAGTATATTAATGATTTCTTTTTGTCTCTATTTGTTGTTGCTGTATAGAAAAGCTGTTCATGTTAGTAATTGATTCTGTATTCTGCCAATTTGCTCAAATTATTTATCATTTTTCAAATTTTTCTGATTGAATTTTTGGGACCATGAGGTTTGGTTTGGCTTTGGTTTGTCCTTATTTCCCCACAATTTTCAGTTGCATTGATAAGTCATTTATTTGTGCTCCTTGTGATTATTTTTTTTTTGCTGTAGGTAATTAGAGTTGTAAATGTTCCTCATAGGACTTCCTTTAATATGTGCTAGAGATATTGTTGTGCTATGTTTCGTTTTCGCTTAGCTCCAAGAAGATTCTTCAATTTATCTTGATGTCTTCTTTGATCAATTCATTATTCAGCCATGAGTTGTTTAACTTCCATGTATTTGTGTGCTTACTAGAGATTTCTTTGCTATCAACTTATCCTTTATTATGTTATGGCCAAGGAAGGTATTTTTTATTCTATATATTTTATTTATTTATTTATTTTAAATTAGAAACAAACGTGAATCACCTGTCTATCTCCCAATCCCAACTCCCTCTCCCTCCCCTCTCCCCCCACCCCGCCCCCCACCAACATCCCCAACCCTCCAGCCAATCCCCACTGCACTCTCTAGGTAGGGTGAGGCCCTTCATGGCAGATCTGTCATATCATGCAGGGCAGGGCCTAGACCCTCCCGCATGTGTTTAGTCTGAGAGAGCATTCCTCATGTGGAATGAGTCCCAAAGTCCATTCAGATGCCACGGATAAATACTGATCCAGTACCTGAGGCCCCAAAGATTGCTGAGACATCCTCACTAACACCCACATTCAGGGGAGTCTGTAGCAGTTCCATGCTGGCCTCTAAGTCCTCAGTCTGGAGTCCATGAGCTCCCCCTTGTTCAGGTCAGCTGTTTCTGTGGGTTTTACCCACCTGGTCTTGACCCCTTAGCTTATCACTTATTCCTCTCTGCAGCTGAGTTCCAGGAGTTCAGTTCAGTGTTTAGCTGTGGGTATCTGCCTCTGTTTCCATCAGCCACTGGATGTAGACTCTAGGATGGCATAGAAGGTAGTAGTCAATCACATTATGGGGGTAGGTCATTTAAGGTACCCTTTCCACTATTGGTTAATTGTCTATTGGTGTCATCCTTATAGATCTCTGGAAATCTCACTAGTACCAGATCTCTCCTCAAACCTATAATGACTCCCTCTACTACAGTATTACCCATCCTGCTTTCCACTATTCTTCCCCTGACTCATCTTTCCTGATCCCCCATGTTCATTTCTTCCCTTCTCTTCTCCTCCTCACTTTTCCCCCAGCTCCCTTTCCCCTCCCTGCATGCTTCCAGTCCATTCAGGAGATCCTGTCATTCCCCTCCTCTGGGTTACCAAGCATATCTCTCTTAGGGTCCTCCCTTTTCCCAGACTCTCTAGTGGTGGGATGATACACAGTTATTTTAGTCTTTCTGAAGTTGTTAAGACTTGTTCTACATCCTAAGTGTGGTCTATTCTATATTTAGAAGCCAGCTTCCATTGCCATCTAAGTAGAATGTATTCTAAGTAGACTGTATATATTTTTGTGTGTTTGGGAAGAATATTCTGTAGATAACTGTTAAGTTCACTTGATATATGTATCAATTAATTCTTATGTTTTTCTCTTTATTTTTTGCCCAGATAACCTGTCTATTGGAAACAGTGGGATATTGCTATCACTGAATACTGATGTGCTGATGTTAATCTGTTTCTTTAGTTCCAGTAGTACAATCTTTTATGAAATTGTGTACACTAGAGTTTGGTGCACACATGTTAGGATAATAATGTGTATTTTGTTTATTAGTCCTTTGACTATAATGAAATGTTTTTTCAAACTCTTTTCGTTAGTTTTAGTTTGAAGTCTATTTGTGAAATATTGATATAGGAATGTTTGTTTGCTTTCTAGTACGATTTGTTAGAAATGTTTTGCCTATCCTTTCTCTTGAAGGTAGTGTGTATCTTTAAAGATAGATGTGTTTTCTGTAGAAATTAGATAGATGGCTTTTATTTTTCAATTCCTTCTTTCAGCCTTTATCTTAGAGACTTAAAATTACTAATGTTTAAAGTTATTTCTGAAAGGTATATGTTGATTATAGTAATTATATTGTGTTTTTTGCTGTTTGTGATATCAATATTATTCTGTGTTTCAGAAACTTAGGTTTGTTTTCGTTCTGCAGTCTCTTTTCTTTCTTAATTCCTCCTACAATCCAAAGTGATGCCATCTGTTTTTTCTTTGAGTTTAGTCTTCTAGATAGAATTCCTTTTTGACTGTTTGTATTATTGGAAGATTTTTCTTTCTCCTTAGTTGTGTATAATATTCTTAGTTGACAGCCATAGTCCTTTAAAACTTGAAATTCTTTGCTCTTCACTCATCTTGTTTTCAAAGTGTCCATCAAGAACTAAGCTGATATTCTGATGGGTTTTCCACTATATGTGATTTGTTTTGCAGATTTCAATATTTTTGATTTGTTCTGTATACTTAGTGTTTTTAATCTTGTTTAGCTGTGGGGAGTCTCTTGTCTTTTCTATGTGGTGTTCTGTGTGCTTCTAGTTTCTGTGTATGTATTTCCTTCATATACATAAGTTTATTCTATGACTTTGTTGAAGATCTCATCTATACTATTTACCAGGTATTTCTTCATCAATTCTATAACTCAAAGGTTGGTCTTTTTATGTTTAATTTGTTAATTTATTTATTTGATCTAGATCTTCTACTTTATGTTGGAATCCTGATATTTCACTTTCTGTTTGATTTATTTGACTTGTAAGATGTTTCCTTGAGTTTTCTGGTTGGGTCATTAGCTTTTCCAATTCCATTTACAAATTGTGGATTTCTTCATCATTTCCATCAGTGCTAGGTTTTCTTGCGCACCACTTAGGCACTTAGGCATTATTAGATTGTCAGATAACATGCCAAGAAAATAGAAAATATCCAAGTATCACAGTTGTAAAAATATTTTTGTGTTCTTTCATCAGATTATTTTCATCAAGTGTATGCAAATTCAAGAAGCAAAACACTCTAATATCTTGTATAAAATGAAATATAAATCTAAAATGTTCAAGTTTCTTTTAAGTTCAATTTGAAAAGAAACTTCTGCTTTGTTGTCAGAATTCTAAAATCAGTATATATGTTTTATTATTTTTTAGGGGAATATTTTGAACTTTGCACACACCCCAAATTCCTATTCTATTTCACTCAACTTTAAGATTTCTTTCTTCCTTTCTTTCTTCCTTTCTTTCTTCCTTTCTTTCTTCCTTCCTTTCTCTCTCTCTCTCTCTCTCTCTCTCTCTCTCTCTCTCTCTCTCGCTCTCTCTCTTTCTTTCTTCTTTTCCTTACCAACTTTGTATTGTCCAGCTAATCTTTGACCTGGTATAACCTACCAGAGGTTATATCCTTAAACATAACTGACTCTCCTTCGGCTCAGCTAGTAGTGGAGTTTCGTGCCAATCTTCCCTCCTCTTTTTGGGATTTTTCTGACTGGGGTTCATTTGGTCTTGCACATTCTATCACAGTTTTTCTGGGTTCATAGGTATAATTGCCCTATTGTTTCTAGACCTGACAAACACTGTTTCTTAATGTTCGACCACATCTGACTCATATAATCTTGTTCCGTTTTCTATTTTGTGGGAAGGTGTGTGATATGTCCATTCAATTTATGGCTGAGCACTGTGCAATCTATTATTCTCTACTCAATGACCATATTTTTTTTGGGGGAGTGTCTGTGCTAATTGCCGTCTATTGAAAGGAGAGTATTCTAAGAGGTAGGTTGAAAGAGTCTCTGACCTAGTGGTGTAATAAGTAACTTGGAGTCATTTTGTTATGTCCATTCAACAAAATAATAGAATCAGTTACTTACCTAAGGTTTATGACCTTACAAGGTATAAGTTCAAGCTTCCTTTAACAGTGGCTGACATGGTTTACTTCTAACAGAGTGGGTCGTAGATCCAATCAGAAAGTTAATAAAATGGAATTTTATTTAGAAAAAAATTCTAAACTCAATTAAAATGTATTTAATTGCAGATCCTTTTGAGGCATTCATCATCTTTTCTATACGCCATGAGATTCGGAGGATTGATCTGCATAAAGGAGATTATAGCCTACTTGTTCCTGGACTGAGAAACACCATAGCACTTGATTTTCATTTCAATCAAAGTCTACTTTATTGGACAGATGTTGTAGAAGACAGAATATACAGGGGCAAGCTTTCAGAGAATGGAGGTATGTGTATCGAAATTTCACTGAAAGACGAAGTTGGTTTTTGAATAGCAATATGTAATATCAGAAAAGATTCTGATTAATCTTTCACTGTGTAAAATCAGAAGATTAAGTACATATATGAAGATGTGCTAAGGGAGAGAACTGGCCAGGCCCAGATGGCTCATCTATCGTCTTTCATTTTATTTTTCTGAGAGTTATGGAGAAGAAAATTTATTTCCTTATGAGGAAAGAAAAGATTGGTTTCTAGGTACTAGTAATTGGATTTGGGATTAAAGTAGCTCATTTTTATTTGGATAACACCTTTCAACATAATTCAAAGAAATAATGAAAATAAATTTCAAATATATGAACTATATTTTTGTTATAATTAAACTTATCTCTTCTGTCTAATAACCAATAGGTACTGTTTAAATAAAGGTGTGGTACTTCACTTAAAAGTGTTGCTTTGTTTGTGGCATTGCAAGGCTATCAAATTATTAATTTTTTTATGAAATCCCCCTTGCAATTTCAAAATTAGTAATGCTTAAACACAATACAGTTAAAACATGAAAAATCCTCCTGTATCTTATGTTCATGGAATGACTAAAAATAGTGACTTTAGAAAACAGGTTTGTTAAGTATATAAAGTTTATAATGGAAGCCACTGACAAGTGTCATACAGTATAATGAATACATGATTAGAAAAGGATTGTAAATGAATTTTATTAAGTTATGAAAGAAATCTAGTAGTAGATACATATGAAATTGGGCAGATATTACTGAACTGCTGATTTTTTAACACTTTTTTATTATATATTTAAATTAGAAACAAGCTTGCTTACCATGTCAGTCCCAGTTCCCTCTCTCTCCCCTCCAGGGCTGCTCTGGCCCATCAGCCCCCACCCAATACCCACTCCATTCCCAAGGGAGAGTAAAGCCCTCCATTGGGGATCTCTAGAGTTTGTCATTTATGGACATGCTACGAGGCTCATGGACCAGGGAGTAGGATAAATGTGACTTAGGTCTTTAGTTAGCTGAGGTTACAAATGGAAATAGATAAATGATGTATGTATGATGCCTAACCAAAGATAGAAAATGGTGTGGTTATTAAACACAAGGCATATTGATCCAGGTAGACTTTCATTCCTTACTTCTCTCTTTGAAGGTCAGCCTTTTGATGAAATTGCCTTGTTTTTCCCACCACACTTTATTGTTTTAGTATGTCTCTTATTCAATCAGGAAAACCCCAAACAGGAAGTAACTGTTTTGCAACCTAACATTGCTATCACTTTAGTGTTTCCAAAAGTCCTGGAAGGGTTTGTGAGAGTGAAAATTTCTGCTAGGGAAGAACAGGGACTACAAATGTTGAAATCCATTTTCTCTGTTAGGTATGATTTTTCCACCAGGACCTTCAGAGCTGATGTACTCTGGGCTGTGTCCACAAATGGGCCCGTCTTCTGCACCTTCTTGAACGGCTATGCATATTGGCTTCCTTTTTTAACAGGTGTCAGTGCCATAGAAGTGGTTGTGGAACATGGCTTGGCTACTCCAGAAGGCCTGACAGTAGACTGGATAGCAGGCAACATATACTGGATTGACAGCAATCTGGATCAAATTGAAGTATCTAAACTTGATGGTTCTCTGAGAGCTACATTGATAGCAGGAGCCATGGAGCATCCCAGGGCCATTGCACTGGACCCAAGATATGGGTAAGAAGCTTAACTTTACAGGTTCTTCTTGTCATAGAAATTCTCCTCCAATTTACAATTCTAAGTAAGGAGGTAAAATGCTCTCTTTGCATATTAGTATGCTTATGTTTGTATAGCAGTATATGCCAGCATGGTAGCATAGCATGTGTGTTTACATCGGCAGAAGTTTCTTACAGAGTCCATTACTGAGACATTTTTTGAGGCAGAGTATATCTTCCTATTAAATATGGGCACGAAGCACTATTGGAAGTAATTGTAGCTCTTCTCCAAAGCAGTAATTTAATGAATTTCTCTTGTTCTGCCCCAGAGATGCTGTAATTTTTTTTCTAATGGCTACAAACCCCAGGGCGAGTCTTTGTTCTGAATAGTCACAGATGTTAACCAGCTCACCCTTTATTTATTTAGTATGTTCTTAGAGTCAATTGAAAAGGAAATTGAAACAGGCATAAAGGAGTGTAGCAGTGAGATGCTGACTATTGGGAAGTTTTGAGAGACAAAAGAACTGATTCTGGAAATCAATGTTAAATGTTGAGTCACTCCTACTGTTGCCTAGTTTGTCCATTGTTTCCTGATTTTTCAAGCAGCAGAAGAAAAACAGCAGACTTAGGAGCCATGAGTTCTAATTCTGGCACAGACACTGGCTCTCTGGTGAAACCAAATGTGTGACCTCTTAGCTTTATCATCTGAATATAAGGGATTACATATTCAAATGAAATATGTAATCAAAACGAGAGAACTCCTTTGAATTCCTTATTTATTATTTATTTCCCTGGTAATGAGCTTGTAAGTTGAAGGCTTTGTCAAGTATGCAAAATACTTTAAAAGTGCTACTTTCGGCTCTATATCTTAAATTCAAAGTTCAGAAATCACCAGTTAGAGCAGTGTAAGCCTAGAGGAAGCTCAATGGGATGCAGAGGACACAGCCTGCCCCCCACCTTGAAGTTGCTGATATTCAAGCCCATATTTGTCTGCTTCTTGGTTCTCTCCCCAGGATCTAAACACGAGTAGATCAGGAGGTATTTTTCCTTTCACACTTTCTTTCATAGCTTCTGTAAGCAATTCATCTAAAAAGACCTGTGAAGTTAAATGAGGAAGGCTCTTTTTTTTTTCAACAATCTGTTCCCCAAATGCAAGCAGATTGGTGACCTTCTATACCACCCACAATGCTTCCAGCTCATGACTCCCATGTGACCCATACTGGTAGGAAGGTCCTGCCCGTCACTCCTGGCTAAGTGGTACAAGAAATAAATCTTCATGGGAAACTTTCTGCACAACAGCAAGTGCTATGTTGACTCAAGATTCATTTGTAGCATGCTCCATCTTAGGAAAATATGAGAACACTTCCCAAAGCACAGACTGTAAGAGAGAGGTGAACATAAACAAGAAAAGTGAGTTTTGGAGACTGTACAGTCTTTCAGTTTGACAGAGATTTCATGTCCCAAGCATTGTATCCACAGGAAGGAAGATACCCTTATTTTTCTCTGTTTTTTTGATGGTGGGTTTTTTCCCTTCCCCTCGTAAAACGTAACTTGTAAAGAAGAAAATGAAACAGAAACACAAAGGACACAGAAACTAAATCGAATTACCAAACATTTCAGTGAATGAAGGAACTGTGATAAAAAAGGCTATCCCATGTGTAGCAGGACTTAAAAAATCTCCTCCAAGTGGTGCATGTGTGTAGGTGTGTGGGGTGGGGTGGGGGGGTTTATGAAAGTCTTCCAAGAGAGAATATTCTCTTCCACTGTTTGGCTACGACATTTGTTCAGTTAATTAATTTAATCACTGCACTCATGACATAGTAAAAAAATAAAATAAAACAAGTTGGAAACAACATGTTTCAAACTGTTTCTGTCATAAATGATGGAAGTACAGATGACACTCACTTCTTACCCTGTGAGAACTAATGAAATGTTTGGTTGTCAAGATTTGAGAGTATTTTTACTTAAAGTTATTAAATGGAATAGTGGAATAGTTATAATGGAAACTCATTTGTATAGTTTAGTAAAACCCTGTGAGGTTATTTTAAGGATTACATTTTTTGCATGGCAGACTATAAGGACAATAGGCATTCTTGTAGCATATACAACATTTAAACATACACATGTCAGCTTACATGCAGAATATACAGCACATACACATATATGCATGCATACTAACACAGGGTGCACAGCACAAACACACAACAAATGTACACTCATACCCAAAGTATATACAACATAATCCCACACTCACTCATACAGCAAATACAAAGGAACATACCCATGCACACTTTCATACACAGGCATGCTGCAAAGTCAACCTAATCAGAAAAAACAATTTAAATAATTGACTTAAACTTAATTTATCATTTTAGTGTTGTCTAAAAGGCATATTAACATTTATTTTTCAAAAGTTTCCAGAAATGTAAGGAAATTCTGTACCTATGTTGAGGAGAGCTCCAAAATCTAAACATTTTTTAAACATTTCATTTTAAGGCAACTTCCCTGGATTGGTTGAAATCTATGCCTTGAACAAATATTTTTTATATTTTCTATTAAATCAAGAGCTTCCTCATGACATAAAAATTTATTTCAGTTTCTGAAGTCCATCACAGCTCTTGTTGCATAGAAAAGTGACCAATAAATGCTTGTTAAACCGATGTATGCCCCTGGGCAGACTCTGCTTACATACCACCTCTAAGGATTCAATTACCCAGAACAGGTGAATTGATGAGAAATGTTATAAATTTCATTTACAATAACAAATAAAAAGAAAGTTTATCCTTAGTCACTGTGTTTGCTCAGCATGTCAGAGAAAACGAACAAACAAAGTACTGTTATAACTTCACTCTTATGAAACATGCGTGTCTCCTGTGAATTTCAGGAAGCTAGCAAGGCTTTGTGACTCACTTTTTTGGGTGGAAAATAATAGCAGTGCTTCCACACCATCTAGATTCATTAGCACGCAACCACTGATGTTCACTGTACATTACAAAACACATCTGCCCTGCCCCACATTTCTATTGTTCCGGCTTTCTGCTCAGCCTCCGAAGTAGCAAGCTATTCTAAAATGTTCATGTGGCTCTTAAGAAGGACCATTTTTTTGTTTTTCTTTCATTCATTTTTGAGTTGAACCCCCGACTGAGGTTCGCTGAAGGAGGACGTGAACCTCTCAAACGCCAAGCTTCTAACTGGGGAATGATCAGCAGTTCTGAATGTGCAGAGTCCTTCAGGGTTCTTGAACTTCACAATGCTCAGGCTCAGTTCCCACAGGACAATTTGTTTCTTTCTCCATTGCTCACATTTACTTTTCATTTCAGGTGTCCTAGTAATTGACGTCTACTGACAAAAGTGGAACCAGCATTTGTGAACATTAGTGAGGCAATTCTATTAAATTTTCTCTGGGAATACTGTAAATTACAGTAATCTCTATTCATTGTTGACTATAAAAGACAAAGATAACCTCTGCCTTTCAGAGATCTTTTCCTTTCACCTTTTTTAGCACGAACTGACAGATTAGCCTATAATAGTCCAGGTTGTTCATGATCTATTGCCCAGCTTAATCTGAAAAAAAAACTGCAAAAATGTAGGCCATTTTTTAAAAACAATCTTTAAAAACAATTGTAGCTGAGCATCAGTGATTTATACAAAGATCCAGTTTTCCTATACTTGAGGAACTAAAGCTATTATTGAAATTTTAACACATTTTTACCATTTAGAAAGGAAAGAAAAAAATGATGCTGCTATAGTACGAACTTGTAAAACTCACAAAAGAGTGCTGAGAACTTTATGAAACAATGAGCCATGAAATCAACCGTGAATGTCAGTTGTGTTAACTGTGTTGTAGCAAGGTTAAGAACTCTTTGAAGGCAACTACTTTTAGCACATATTCTTTTACAGAAAGTGACTAAAGCTTCCTACTAAAAATGATGGAAGATTAATATCACAGTACTCACTAAAGAAGAAAGACACACACACACACACACACACACACACACACACGTCACCTGAGTTAGAATGCCATATTGATGTATCCCACCCAAGAAAATATCCCATACTTTATTCTCTACTAGAAGAATGCTTGAGAATTGATAGTATCTTTAAAAGTGAACCTAAAGGTATGCCTTTCAAAACAACAAAACACAAACAAGGACTCAAAAAAAACAAACAACAAAATCGAATCAAAACAAACAAACAACAAAAATAAAAACAAGTATTCACCTTAAAGAGAATACAGTAATAAATGGTTTATTCTGGAGCAAAATGTGAGTGATCATTCACAAACTTTTACTAGCAACAATAGAGAAAGCCAAAAATAAATACACTTTTCAAATGTATTATACAACACATCAGTTAGACAAGTTACTAAAGATAGGGTGAACTTCTCTTTTAAGGCTGAGATGGTCTTTGACAAGACTGTTAGTTTTTATTGGTGGAAAACTAGGATTTTTTAAATACCGTTCAAATATATTTTATAATTATTATTCTGTTAAAATGACAGGCACAGCCAAAAAATGGCTAGGGACAGAACACAGTCCAAGAATGGGACTGTGAGAATTCAGAATGTTCATTAAAAAAAGCAAGATTCTTGTGATCTCAGTTTCTTCAAAACAGAATTGTTTTTGGAATGGGTTTTCTTTCTCCTCCCAGGTGTAACATGTAACAAGAGCTTCGTTGCCCATTTGTTCCCATGGTCCCTTCTCAGTCCCAAAGAAGCACATGGATGCTGTATTAATTATAAAACTGCTAGCCAGTATATTGGGCTTAATTATTAACCCATTTCTACTAATCTATGCATTTCCACATGGTCTCAGCTTGCCTGAGAATGCCTTCAGCATATTCTCTTCCTGGGCTCTACATCACAACTCCTGTCTGCCTACATTTCCCAGAATTCTCCTCCTCCTAGTCCTGCCTATACTTCCTGCCAGGCCATTCAGTGTTTTATTCATCAACCAATAAGAGAAACCTAAATACAGAAGGACATCCCCTTCAGTAGTGTATAGGAGTGCTTTTACTTCAGCTATTAATATTCATATACCTCTATGGAGGAAACACGTTTTTGTCACATGTTGCTTGTTCTTGTGACTGGATACTTTACTCAGGTGACCCTTCTTAACCCTCTGAGTTTAAACTGTCTGACGCTTTGAATAAAAGTTGACCATTGCATGAGACTTTTGTTGGCCTCATTTCTAGGCTCTGCTCTCCCAGCTTCATACTACCCACTACAGCAGTAAACAGTTAATAGGGTAAAGACAGCACTAAATAAATAGCTAAGATCAAGCCATGCAAAATTTTTTCCTCTCAAACTACTTAATTGAAAAGTGTACCTGCCCTCATAGTAATGAAGCTTTATTCCATTTTTGATCTGATAAAATATATTAAAAATTTTGTATATTCTGGGGCTGGAGAGATGGCTCTTTCAGAGGACCTGGTGTTCAATTCCTAGAACACACATGGTAACTCAAACTGTTTCTAACTCCAGTTCCAGTGGACCTGTCACCCACACACAGACATAAATGTAGGCAAAACACCAGTGAACATAAAATTTAAAATATGTACATTTATTACATTTTCATATATTATTGTCTATAAACATTATTTTATATAATTAGTGTTGTCAATTCCAAAGCATCGTTTTCTTAAAGCTTTTAATTTTTAAAAAGACCAAGAAATAAGTGTTAGTTATTTTATATGTGTCCTCCACCACATTTTAATATTTTTACTTATTTTATTTTGAGATACCTGTATTTTAAAACTTTTATTAGGCAAGTGATCAAACACATAAACTAAAACAATTTGCATGATAAAATCAATTGCACCTATTACTCAGCTTCAATAATTGTCAGTCTTATCCCCTGTGGTGATATTATTATAGATGTGCTTTCCCAAATATCAAATATTTCACTGACCAAACAACAGGCTACTTGATCATTTTTTGTAGAAATCTTCCTGTCAGCATATCTGTGAAAAAACACCCAGAAGCTGCTAATGATTTAAAAAGAATATTACAATGAGCTAATGAAAAACATATTGTTCACATAAAAATCAAAACTCTCACATCCTAAAGGAAATAGGCAATAGTTTAATCTGGAGCCATTTTGAGTGACCACAGCTCCACTCAATTTCCCAATGTCTAAGAAATTTTACGAAGTTTTATAGTTTGTAGAGCAAATAGAGTCATAGCTCAAAGAAAGTTTAAAATATATTGGTGGGCTAATTAGGGATACAGGCATAAAAGTATGGGGGAAGCTTTTCTGCAGGTCATTGGGTGGCATATAATGATATCCTTAACTTGGTGTTTTTGGAAGCTAGCGGTATGCTGAGTTATCCACAGGGTTTTTGTATATTAGTTACAGGGTGTTATTTCTGACAGAGAGTTGGCAAGGAGTAGCTGTTCTTGGGACTCGATAGCTAGCCCAAGATATGGCAAATAGCTTTGTACCTGGAACATTCCAGTCTCTACCCATCACTGCAATTCTAGTGAGTCAGTTAATCTGAAGACAAGGCTTCTCTTCAGCAGGCTTTGTTTATAATATCCTCAGGATTATATCATTATTAACTCCTGAATAGTGATCCACCTGCTCCCTTCCTGTTAGGTGGCCCTATTTTGCTTCTTGTTCTTCATTTCTCTCTGACTACACTTTGGAACTCTGGTCTATTTCTGAGCCTGAAGCTGCCTCTTTATTCCCCTGTTGGAGTATTCTACAAGTTGAACATTTACCAACTAATACTCTACTCATTACAAATTTTTCTTCAAAGTATTTCACAGGTTGTAATTCCATATGCATAAACTTACATGGTTTGTCTTCCGATGTACTTGAAGCCACTGGGTTAGAAAATACATCCATTTATTCTTGCGACTTTTACCTAGGAAACTTTTCCTCATGTGGTATGCATAAGAAAAACATTGGAAATGAAGGAATAAAACAATGGCATTATTTCTTTTTCTTCAGAATTCTTTTCTGGACAGACTGGGATGCCAATTTCCCTCGCATCGAATCTGCCTCTATGAGCGGTGCTGGGAGAAAAACTATCTATAAAGACATGAAAACTGGGGCATGGCCTAATGGACTGACTGTGGACCACTTTGAGAAAAGGATAGTTTGGACAGATGCCAGGTTAAAAACATTCTCTTGTGTTTTCATTTGCTTTCTCCAGCTTTTTAGCTATATTGTTAAGTATTCTAATATAGGTATCACACAGTGGTAATGCATATTTGATTTTGTAGTTGTTTTTGTTTTACTTTGGAAAATATTAGATATAAACCCATAGACTCAATAGCTTTATCATTTGTCTGATTTGCATAACTGCATCCCTGGACTCCTTCAGTGGCTCTGATAAATCATTGCTGTACTGACCTTTTCTAGGTCAGATGCTATTTACTCAGCCTTCTATGATGGAACAAACATGATAGAAATTATCAGAGGACACGAGTACCTGTCACATCCCTTTGCTGTGTCTTTGTTTGGGAGTGAGGTGTACTGGACAGACTGGAGGACCAATACACTGGCCAAAGCCAACAAGTGGACAGGGCAGAATGTCAGTGTGATTCAGAAGACCAGTGCACAGCCATTTGACCTTCAGATATACCATCCCAGTCGACAGCCTCAAGGTAGGTGCTTAGGACAAGACGACCATCTTGAAACCTATCCATGTGAACTGTATGAGTGTAAAAGAAATGCTTTAAGCTAACAGTTATTTTATGTTACTGGTAGCACTAACCTTCATTTAATTAGCTCGAGATTTTTCTGCTTTGCCTTTTAAATTTCTTCCTTTAGAATATTATTCTTAGAAATTAAAGGTTTTATACTGTCTTGAAATTTTTAATCACTGACATAACACTGACAAGAAAGTGGGAAAAGCTTTCTAAGACCTTTACATTTGGAGCTGGGAAGACAGCATAGCATGTTTTGCTCTTGTAGAGGACCCAAGTTCAGTTTCTAGCACCTGTAATTGCAGCTTCAGAGGATCTGATACTTCTGGCCTTCTGCGGGTACCCATACTAATATATACACCCACATGCATATTCTCATTCTCTCTCTCTCTCTCTCTCTCTCTCTCTCTCTCTCTCTCTCTCTCTCTCTCTCTCATACACACACACACACACATGCACAATCATACACACAAGCAACTCTGTAAAACTATCTACAGAACAATTTTAAAATAACCTTTGCATTTTGATCCTCTTACAGACTATGAAGGAAAAGACTAAGGACCCAGAGTCCTACTGTAGCCATGAGCTAGCATATTGGGAGGTTGCATGGTGCTTCATGATAAAGCATAAACCATGGGGGATGGCTCTCTACCTCAGGTCTTACACATACATTTTGATCCCAAGGCTCACATTTCTTTTCTTGAATGCCCTGATGATTTGTCATAGCAGCAAGCATATGCCTAACCTGTTACACTTCTTCCCATTTCTATGGGATGTAACATGAGATTTTCAGTCTAACATCACTGAAGTCCCTTTGTTACTATTTTAAGTGTTATGTACAGAATTCATAGGTGATGCCATCTCACCTGTATAGGAGACATGTATTCCTTTCTTCTTCATGGGTGATTTTCTCTTATTGGCCCTTATGGTCTTTGGTTCACATGTTAAACCTTATTCTGAATTCATGCTATATTGTCTTGTTTTGGTGCTGACTAAAATCAATGGAATTTATGGCTGAGAAAATCCCATGCCTTCTCTTTGTCTACGATATTTGGCTTTCATTTTCTCAGAAGAGTATTCTTGTACCAAATGTGTTTTTGTGTGCAGTTTGTATACTCCTCCTACTACAGTTGAGTGAGTCCAGTTCTATTGCCAGTCCCCATCAATTTCTCAGTCTCTGTCCTCTTATTGTCTGTTCTTCTTTGCCTTGACAGTTTCAGCTCATCCTGGCCTATGCTTTTTTAGCCATTCTTAGCTGCATTCATACCATACATAGTCTGAACAGTACTACCCCCACTGGAAGAAGTTCAGACGCTGATTGCTTTGCACTTCAAATTATTTAGTGGTATACTAAATTTAAGTAAATCTGAATAAGAAGAAAATAAGGACTCTGACCAGCAAATGTCAGTGGTATAATGAAGTCACCTGTAAATACTTAGTCAATGTAAAGATAAGGCCAAAGAGTGCTCATGAAATGCATCCACATAACAGATTAGATTGATATTAATGACTACAAGATATTGCAAAGATGCACTTTTGTCTCCATAGTTATTAGTACTTAGTAGGGATTATGATTTTATAGGTTTAGATTCATCTCATAAATGAATGATTATGAGAAATGGCTTAGTCTATGCATTGCATCAAGTCTCTCCCTTAAATTGGATTTATAGAGAAGAAACAGACTCTCACACATTAGTGTAACTTTTAAGTTTACTTATATATATATATATATATGGAAAGGGAGTGGTTATTTTCTTGTTTGGATAAAGGTGTTTTTAATAGGTCTACTGAAATGAAAATGATTTCTGTGTCACTTCCCTTACTTGCATTCAGTGGGGAATATTTTCTTCTGTGGGTATAATTTAAAGTATTTTCTCAGGACTCAGGAAAATATACTCTTTATTTACATTTAGAGAATTTCCTAATATGATCTGAACATGCTCTACCTACTCCTGTTTCCAATTGTGAGGATCATAGTGTATGGAAGAATCATTGTCTGCACTGTTCATCTGTTCCAGTGAAGCAACTGTACACTATTTGCTTAGGAAGACACAGAATATGACCAGTATTTTGTGACTGTAAAGGATCTGGTGATGTAGGCTCAGCTATCTCACAGAGAATCAACAGTTCCTCATTTATAATGAATAATACAATGAGGACCATAGTAGAATGAGACATTTTAAAACATGATCTTCACTGTCTTTTAAATAATGAAATACAGATTTCCCAAATTTAAAAAATGATGATTTCAAATACCTTGAGATTCCCTGTGTTTCCAAGTAAGGAATTCATACTGCATTGACACCAATTTCCTTACACACGAATACTTGTATTGACAAATATCCAATTCAGGTACTAGACTTAAAGGTTTTCACAACCTATTTGAGTTCAGTTTGACTCCTAATATCATCAATATGTGAGAGTAGGAAGAAGTAAACCAAGTTTTGGGTGGACAGGATGGCTCATCTCTGTACATATCACTTAGAAGGCTAAGACAGGAAGCACATGAGCTTCTGGACTGTCTGAAGACTTTATGTAGCTTTACCACCAACAACAAAATACATATGAGACATGATGAAGCAATAGTGAGTACTTTTAAGCCTATGTTAATGTATGATGAAAGGATTATTTTAAGTTATTAGCATGTTATTTAAATTCACAGTGTTTACTCTGTGTACGGATTTTAATGTTAGTGTTTTCAGGATCATGCCCCCAAAATATTTTTCTGTCTAGGCATTCCATACCTTTTTAGGTGAATTGATAAATCACAATCAATTAACAAAGTGTGTGAAGGGATGGGTCATGCCAAAATATGCCTGAGATTCCCTTTACAACTTAGGATCAGACTGGAGTACCTCATTTTATTCAACATAGTTTAGTGGATAAACTTGAAAAAAATCTATTTTAAAAATAGTCAAGAAGAGTTGTGGCTGGAGTTAACGCTTTTAATCAGTTGATTATAAGTTGAAGTAAGGAAGTTTGATGAGATTTCTTAAGAATATTTCAAAAATGAGAGGAAGGACAGAGTCTTGGAGAAAACCAAAATTAACATGCAAGAATGTGGAGTCCAATACCTCTGAGAAAGTGCCAACACGAATCTGAGAGGATATGAAACTGGTGTCCAGATTCAGTTCTTGGAGATAAGTTAAAAACAAATAAATTTACTGACCAGCATATTTACTGGTTTGGGCTGTGTGGGGAATGTCAGCAAAGTCTGTAGGAAGAGCCAAAATGTTATTTGACTTGTTTGCAGATTATAGTTATTCATATAACTGATAGATACATCAATTATAGAGAGATGATAGATCAAAGATTTGCTTATTGCTCTGCTATGAATCTCTTCTTAAAATAACTTATAACTGACACAGTATCATACCTCCTCATCTATTAAAGATCCCACAATTTCCACACCTGCCCTCTTGAACATATAATTCTGTTGTCTGAAGAAAACATACTTCAAAGGGGCTTAACTGTTTAAAAAGACAGTGTTATTTTGCAAGAAGTATTTATTTTCAAAGACTAGGTACTGATGTTTTGATCTTCAAATGGTAGAAGTTTAAATGGTTTTAAATGACGTAAATATGACATTGCCTCCAGAGAAACAAATGAAACCACCTAAGAAATATAATGGGGAATACACTGAGGAATTTCGCTGTGGATGAAAAACCCATCACATTAAATAGATTTATAAGCATCCTCCCTATAGCAATGCCATCATCCCCTGCTTTCCTGGAAGTATCTATCACATGGCATGGTATTGGCAGGGAAGAGGAATCTAAACGAACAGGACTATTTTAAAAGGCATGGATTTATGATGGTCATGTCTCTTATTCCGTAATCAAACGCTAAGAATTGTTGCAGGATGTGGTTTACTCTTCTGCGAATGGGGCCAATTTATACTTATGAACTGAAACTGCCAATTATTACAATCATTACAAATGTAGCTACCAAAGTTCTCAGCATATTTTCTAACACAGGGTCTTAAAATCAGTTATTGTTTTGGTTTTAGAAGGTTAGGCTTTTTGTTCTTTTTTTTTTTTTGTACTTTGTGTCAATTGTTGAGATGGCATCTGTTGTTGTCCTGCATGGAGCCTGAAACCCTACATGGTCCTCCTGTCTTGGCTTCTCAGAGTCTGAGATGAAAGGAGTTAGACATCATGAGCAGGTGTTTGAGGAGCTCATTCTTGTAGATCATTTTTATGTCCCTTAGCCATTGTGTTTTACAAATAGATTGACAGACTGTTTCTCAAAAAGTAGTTGTAATAAATGATTCCAATTGACTCGGTAAAATATTTCTCTGAAGAAACTTTTCCTGACAATACTTATAAGAAAACAATATCCTTATTCATCCACCATTGACAAATTGATTACTTGTATCGATTTTTAGAAGGAGATTAAATGAGGCAAAAGCAATGTCTCCTTTCTCTTGCAAGTATTTCTTCTTGTGTTGATGTAAGAATCGTGGTAATGAAATTTATGGTTTTCGTTGTGCTCAGAATTACAGTTGTATTTTACTATCCAAAGAAATGAGTAGAAACAGTAATGACACTGATTATATAAATTAGTACCAGTTAAATTGGGCCTCAATTCTTAATGTTTTGAAATAATAATCAATATATTTCTCTGTCTAAAAAATTACTGATATAATTTCTCAGTTTTGTAAAATTCATCTTAAAAGACTGACAATGCTGTAATAATGTCTTAACACTTAATCATATTTCTTTAAGGCTTAACCTTTTCTTTTTCCTAATACTTATAAAACCTCTTGCAAAGAAGTTATAAACACTGAAGGAAAGGAATAATGAACTGTGAGGAATGAATATTTGTGTTTAATATTATAGCTTTGGTTAAGTATTATGTTTAACTTTAAATTTCAAGTCAGAGAACAGAAAAATAAAAGATATGTTATTCATATTCCTTCAATGGAGTAAACGTTCTAGTTTTTCAGTGAGAAAACA